TTTTGCCTTTTTAGTCTGTTGGCCCATCACTCTCTTCTCTCCACAATGAATGTGTTTATTGGGCAATGGTCTTCTGTTTGTAGCAATATAGCAATAAAGCAGCTTCTGTAAGCAGGCACACACTCTAGAGAATGAAACAGTTTATCTATGAACATAGTCCTGGTCAACAATTAGTTTTATTCAGTAGCCATTGTGAGGAGGGCATGGGGAACAGTGGGCTTTTTACCACCTCTCATAGTGGACTTCCAATAAGACCCATCATCAAGGTCTTTCCCTCCCCTTACCTTGGCATCTCTGTACTGATTGGTAACAGGTGGTATCTTTGAAGAGGCAATCTCTGCATGTTGTTCTCTTTTGTTCTAAATAATCATATTTCTTCATACAGGTTTTTGGCTGGGGCCAATGAACAATTTTAGCTCTGCTTTCGCTCATACAGACTTCCAGTAGCTTTAAATCCACAAATCATGTTCCAAACTGTTTCTGTATGCCCATGTTTCATGAGGGGAGTAACTGGCTCTCCTTGTTTCACAACCTATCCCTTCTTCCTTCTTTGAAATGTTCTCTCTCTAAAATAACACCTTTAGCATGTATTCTGTTATCAGTGTATTTTGCACACCTGTTCAATAGTTGGTTTTGCAGAACAACTTAATTCCATTACTTTTTTTGTTGCATGATAAGTTAAGGAAATACAGGCAAATGAAGATGTTCTCTTGCTATGGCCCAACATGCTTTGCACCTGCCTCTGTGAATAGCTAAGCTGTTGCCTAGCAACAGCCCTCTCCCCTGCTGAGAAAGGAGGAGAAAGTAGCTGGTCTTCCTCCCATTGGGACAGGGAGGAAGGTGCGATGCTTATCTCCTATAACTGGGAAAGGGTTCATTCCCTTACCTCCACTTGTGCCTCTTTTTTCCTCCATCCTGTCTCTTATTTTGTAAATGAGCAGATGTTTTTCCCTGCAAACACTAGTTTACCGGTATTTATTCTCTATTTGACTTGGGGTTTTTTAAGGTTAATGCATACTGCCCACATTGTATTTGTTTTCTCTTTAATTGCAGTTATACATCTGAACTTTTCTATGAGGGCAAATTGATGGCAAGTGGTAAACAGCCAGCACACAAAGATTTCTATCCTCTGACGTTCTTCACAGCAAGAGGAGAAGATGTGCAAGAAAAAAATAGTACTGCCTTTTACAACAATGCAGAGGTAGCACTTTGCTTTCACCTTTAATTGCTTTCTTGATTCTTGTAATTTTCACTGTTCTTCCTTGTTTTATGCCCCCCCCCCCAAGAGAAGTATTTTTTTCAGAAATGTCTTGTTTGGTGTCTAAGAGGTTATTCTAGGAATGGCAATGTACAAATCAATATGATCATTCTGTTCTTCATGTGTAATGTTGATTCTACATAGAAACAGAACCTAAAACTATGGGCATAGATAGTTCTCCAGGATGGTTCACAGTAAAACCCAAGAATTCTATTACCATTTGCTTTTCACAGCCTTTGACCAAAAAAGAAAAAAAAAAGAAAAAAAAAGAAAGAAAGAAAGAAAGAAAGAAAGAAAGAAAGAAAGAAAAATAAAAATAAAAATAAAAAGCAAAGCAAACTGTGCTCTGTCAACTTTAAGTGAGCTATCTGAGCCCATTGGGATTGAATTCAGGTTGTGAGCAGAGTCTTAACTGCAGTACTGGAGTTTAATCCCTGTGCCATGAAGCTCTACAGGCTTTCTTGGATAGTTGAACATTTAACCTTTGGGATCTGGTTATATGAAGGAAATGTTAACTTTGCAGTAAGTGAAGGCTTTCACGGCCAGGATCTAATGGTTGTTCTGAGCACTCCCAAGCCAACTACACCAGAGTACAGGTTGCTGTCCTCTGACGATGCCGGCCACAGAGACTGGCGAACCGTCAGGAAGAACAACCTTCAGAACACGGCCAAAGAGCCCGAAAAACCCAAAACAACCATTTGCAGTAAGCCTTTAAATGGAAGCATTAAAGCATCATAACTTTATGGTTTATATACACAAATGAATAGTTAAGAAGTACCCTCCCTTATTCAGGAGATACAACGGGGAGGGGAAATCAGCAAAATAGGTTTATTATGGGCAAACTGAAAGAATTTGTCTAACCAAATGTATTTTCAACAAACTGTTGCATTGGATACTGCCATGAGGCCTTGGAATTTTTGATGTGTCATAAATTGACAAAAAAGGGAAACTGAAAGTGTGTCTTGGATGGGCAGGTTTGTGTGTAATATTCCACAATGAAAGATGCTGGTCAGATTCCACAAGAAGCACTATGTCCGCACACTTCCCTGCCTGTCTAAGAATAAATTAGGTCTATTCCTGTAACCAGCTAGAAATAGGAAATGATGTATTTTATGTCTGCATATGCACACATCCAGTGTCTGTATTAATCTTTAGCTGCCTTTGCTTCTCCATAAGGGTAAATTTGGATGGTTTATTCCCATAGGGATCATATTTTCTACCTGGTTGTATCTGGTGCCATTCAGTAAAATAGTTTATTTTCCTGTCAGACCAATACAAGGTGGGCAGCATGCCAATACTGACTGGAGACTTGTTCTGATACCACAGTCCTCCCAGTGGTCTCCAGACATTGGCCGCTTTGGTTGGTAGGCCTGGGTCGTTCTTGGCAGGCCTCATGTCCCTGTGATAAAATTATAGAAAAAGACGGACAACAAGATTCACCTCAGAACGTTGTTGAAGGTCAAGCCGTCTGTCTCTTAAGATAAAGTTTCCAGTAGGCCTTTTTATCTCAGCCTTTTACTGAATCTTCCTCCTGCCAGTATTTTGGGAATGATCGAAAAGAATCCACACATGGTTTTGTACAAGACTTTGTGGTGACTGCCCTAATCAGTTGGCTGCAGTAGCTTGGACTGCTTCTTTCTTGCAGCTTCTTTGGCCTTTTGTTGTTTTTCCAGGGACTAGGTCTGGCCTTTTGGGCTTGGGGAAGATGGCAGTAGTGATGTCATTACCACATAAACTGTGACTAGGTGCAGTGGTGACAATTTGGAAGGTATGGGCGAAAATAAGAGTATTGAAACTATTTTTCTGATGTTGTAAGAAGCCTTTCTTCATCGTGGTCATTCTGTGAATTCCGTAAGAAGCCTTTTCCACAACTCTTTTGGGTAACATGGGAACAAGTGTGCTGTTTGTCTTGCAAGCTGGTATTTTCTTTCCTTCCCATTGTTCACAAGCTCGCTTTTAAAACTGGAATGAATTCATAATTTTTTTAAAATAAAACTACATTTCCAGAACACTTTCCAATAATGCTCTATTATGATAATGCTTTTCTCAGAATCATAATTAGAGTTAGGAGGGCATCTGAGTGGCTTTATTGCTCCAGTCTAATTTTGTACAATTTATAGGAATGAAATATTCCTGACTGAAGCCTGTAACAATTTCTATTTTATTACCTGCCAAGGTCTACTCTTGCTATCCTTCTGTGGTACCTTGCTGTATCCAGGTCAGACAGTACTGTATAGTACGCATTAGGTGTTAGGACAGTAGTTAAGGGGCAGATTATTTTGGGACGGGGCAGTCTGTACATTATTTGTAAGCAGTTGCAGTGTAAATATAGACAGAGGCTTTGATAAGATCTGTATGATGGGAAAAGAGTTATATAAGGCCCTCTGGCAAAAGATATCGAGGGCAGAAGCTTTTACAATATATGTATCACAGAAGTGAGTACACCTCCTCACATTTCATAAATATTTTAGTATATCTTTTCATGTGACAGCACTGAAGAAATCACACTTGGCTACAGTGTAAAGCAGTGAGTATACAGCTTGTATAATAGCGTAAATGTGCTGTCCCCTCAAAATAACGCAACACACAGCCATTAATATCTAAACCACTGGCAACAAAAGTGAGTACACCCCTAAGTGACAATGTCCAAATTGGGCACAAAGTGTCAATATTTTGTGTGGCCACCATTATTTTCCAGCACTGCCTTAACGCTCTTGGGCATAGAGTTCACCAGAGCGTCACAGGTTGCCACTGAAATCCTCTTCCACTCCTCCATGAAAACATCAGAGCTGGTGGATGTTAGAGACCTTGCGTACCTCCACCTTCCTTTTCAAGATGCCCCACATATGCTCAATAGGGTTTAGGTCTGGAGACATGCTTGGCCAGTCCATCACCTTTATCCTCAGCTTCTTTAGCAGGCAAGCAAAATAAATATATTGCGTGGCACCTATGCCATGGCAACATACATCGGATAAAACAATATAAAACGGTATAAACAGTATAATATACCCCATTAAAACACAGTACTGTACAATAAAATATGGGGGGGGGAAATTCACCAAAAATTAACTACAGTACTGTACAATAAAATATTAAAATCCATTTAGAATCAGGTTGGTTTCTATTACAGCACAAAATTTTGACATCTAAGGAGAGAACAAAGACAGATGGAAAAAATTAACCAATGCCAGCAGCAAGCACCTATCACGGGGAATAACCCCAAGGATGTAGTTACTTAATTGACTTAATTGGTAGAAGCGGGGGATACAGATTTCATTTTTATCAATGAAGAAATAAAGTGTGCCATTCAGAAAGTGACAAATTTGTCTCTATCAGAAAGTAGAATCTTTAGTTTTTCTTGTTTAGAACTACTAGAGTGTTTTTGTAAAATAGGGTTAAGGAGGCTTTCGCTATAGGTGTCTAATAGTGGACAATAGAGCACTACATGTGCCAAATTCTCCACTATCAGACTCGCTTGTGATACGGAATTTGTGTACAGCAGCCTAATAAACTTGGTCTCATCAGAGCACAGGACATGGCTCCAAAATCCATGTCCTTAGTCTGCTTGTCTGCACCAAACCATATGCGGGCTTTCTTGTGCATCATCTTTAGAAGAGGCTTCCTTGTGGAACGACAGCCCTGGAGACCAGTTTGATGCAGTGTGCGGTATATGATCTGAGCACTGACAAGCTGACCCCACCCCTTCAACCTCTGCAGCAGTGCTCGCAGCACTCATATGTCTGTTTCCCAAAGCCAACCTCTGGATATGACGCTGAGCATGGGCACTCAACTTCTTTGGTCGACCATGGCAAGGCCTGTTCTGAGTGGAACCTGTCCTGGTAAACCGCTGTATGGTCTTGGCCGCTGTGCTGCAACTCAATTTCAGGGTTTTGGCTATCTTCTTATAGCCTAGAGTTAGGCCATCTTTATGTAGAGCAACAATTTGTTTTTGTTTTTTTCAGATCCTCAGATAGTTCATTACTATGAGGTGCCATGTGGAACTTCTAGTGACCAGTCTGAGAGAGTGAGAGCAATAACAGCTGCTCCCCCTTCACACCTGAGACTTGTGACACTAATGGGTCTCATGACACCAGGGAGGGAAAAGGGCTACTTGGGCCCAATTTGGCCATTCTCACTCAGGGGTATACTCACTTTTGTTGCCAGTGGTTTAGACATTATGGCTGTATGTTACGTTATTTTGAGGGGACAGCACATTTATACTGTTGTACAAGCTGTATACCCACTGCTTTACATTGTAGCCAAATGTCACTTCTTCAGTGTTGCCACATGAAAAGATATACTAAAATATTTATGATACAGTGGTGCCTCACTTAACAATTTTAATTGGTTCAAAAAAAACATCGCTATGGGAAAACATCGCTAAGCGAAACACGTTTTCCCATAGAGATGCATTGAAAAGCGAAAATCGCCATAGGAAACATCACTAAGCGATATAATGCTTCCCCCATTGGAATGCATTGAAGCCTATTCAGCGCATTTCAATGGTTTTGTGATGTCTGTTTTTGCAATTTTTAAAGTGTCTTAAATGGTCAAAAACTGTTTTAAATGCTTGGAATCGTTAGTGCACCTTCTAAAACGTTTGCAAACTTAATTTGGCTTTGTTCTGACTCTTCGTTAATTTTTGGTGAATTTTTTTTCTCCCCCATTGGAATGCATTGAACCTGATTTTGACAGCTGTCAAACGGGCACTTCAGTGCATTCCAATGGGGGAGAAAAAAATTCACCAAAAATTAACGAAGA